TCTATGATGATATATGGTAATTTTTACCCACTCAAACGTTATTTTCATAAATTTTCAAGGATTCTAGGTTTTATGTGAATAGTGCCACAAATTTGGATGGATTGTGTGGTTTGTGATAATTGATTCATGATGTTTCATGTCGTAGAGTTGACCCTTGTGGTGTTGTGAGTGATTCCCACCGATTGGAATTCACTTTTGCTCAAGTTGGAGATTCTTGAGTTTTCACACAAGTGGTAAGTCATGGAAATGAGATTTTTAGATGTGTTCTAGCCAAATGCTTAGTGATTTATGTATTAAATTATGTAGTGATCACAATTTCACTTTGTGCCATAGGTCGCCTGTGTGTTGTTGGTTGTGATCTTAGCTCTTGCTGTAGAAAAGAGCATCTGTCAGAAAGTCTACAACAGGTAAACTTCTAGACTTTAGGGTTAATCTCATAGTGTGTTCCACCATACTCCTTTGAGAGGAAAGGTTAGATTATGATTGTGCATTTAGTATCATGATATAGTGACATGCATAATGAACAATGGATTGGATACATGCATTTGAGATATGAGATTGTGATTTAGATTATGATGATCCTGCAAGTGGCCGGGCATTACATATGCTGATAAATGTACTTTAGAAGAATTTCCTAGCATTTTTTTTGGAGTTAACTCAAACCTAATTATCTCTTTGAGGGGAGTTGGCTCCTCTCAGTATACCCACAAGCTTTGACTCTTTGAGCCGGCTATGAGATTAGTCTGCCGTACAAGGCAGGTCAGAGATAAAGATATTTAAACCCCTTCCAAATGTGGCATATGGGGATCCAACCGAAGCTCTTTTCTTTCCATTTACTCAGCTCCCTTGCTATCAAATGAGCTACCACCATTTGATAATTTCTTAGCACTTCAAGTACAAGAGTTTAGGTTCACTCGTGTCATACATGGGTGTTTCATGTTAAACTTCAAGTGCAAGAATTTCCTAGCATTTCATGTTAAACTTCTATATCTTAGTAAATAAAGATGCAGGTTAACGTAGTTTGCATGGGTGTTACTTATTTTGCACTGTCTTCTCTTAGTTTGATTTTGAATGAATGCATATAGACAATTTTAATAGATGTGGAGTACTGCAAGGAACAAGTAGATGGTGGCAGTAAAGTATATCTAACAAATTTATTTTGAGGATAGGTAAAAATGATATAAATGAGCATGTGATGCCATGAATAAGAATTGACATGTGTACCTCCAGCTTAATAATATTAATAAGAAAGTAACAGAAGAAAGAAAGGTGCAAATGTCCTGAATCTTAAATATGGTTGTTGAACTTTTAAGTCGTTTGCTGACTATTCATATTTTAATGCTTGAATAACTCTACTGGTATGTTTCTTCTTTTGCAGTTTAGGTTGACTTATGTTTCTCCTTTGTCAAGGATTATTTTCTATTTTTTTTTTTTATATTTATCAGTTTGGTTATTCAATTAGTTCTATTTAAGTCGGGTAAGATCATATGAATAATAAAATTTTTCCTATCAGGTTTCAGAAACTCGAATTCGATACTATTAATTAAGTTAGAATAAGCTGAAGAGTTATTTTCTTATCCTAAGAAAATTGCTTTCATTATCTAATGGGTTTATTTTCTTAACCACTTATTTGTTGTGTTTCTTCTTCCTCAGGTAAATTTCTTCCCATCTCTCTTTCTTATGGAAACTTTTTTTTAATTTTATTTATTTTTTGTCTAAGTTGCTCATTTCAAATTAGTATTTTGGGCATCCATTTTTATGTACCACAAAGTTTAAAATGTGAGTTAGATAAAATATGGTACCAATTGGTTGATTTGATATTCCAATAGGTTGCCTTTAAATAGACTAAATTGAATACAATAAGAATCAGCAAAATATTAACAAACCTAACAAACTGGAACAATCCTAAAATAACTCAGAATAATTAAATATGTTGCTAACAATTAGGATTACAAGCTAACAACTAAGATTACAACAAACTGAATATCTACATGATAAGATCATATCTCGAACAGAGTTATGAGATATACAATACAAGCCTTGCAATTGAACGTAAAAAATTAGATATTTTCTCTCCATCTTCAAGATGTCATCAGACTTGACCCAAAAAAATATCTAGTCAACTCGTGCGACATTGGGTCTTGTCATGGTTTAAAAAATAAATAAAAGGCAACATTTATTTATTTATTTTTAAAAATAAAAGTGTTTTTTGTTTTATATTTGCATTTGGATGCAACTTTTAATAAATGGCAACATTAAAAATAATTAAAATAATTTTTTTCTTAAGAGAAGATTTATGGCTTCTTAAAAAAAAAATAGAAGCAAAAATCAAATATTTTTCCTCAAAACCTAATTTTACCTCAATGACATCACATCATTTCCATCTCCCCATCATTATTATCATCACATGTCTTTTTTTTAATAATTTTACATATACAATTTATTTATTAATTTTAATATCCGATAATTTTTTATTTGAAAGAGTTTTTTTTATATCCCATCTAAATATTAAATAATTTTAAATTTTCATAAAAAGTATTTTTCGTACACCAAACGGTAGAAAGCTGACAGGAAAGAATTCAAATATGATCAATTTTTTTTTTTTTTTTTTTGTAATCAAATATGATCAATTTACATATAAAGAGGGAGTACATCTTACTATCAACTCCCTTACCTATACGAGGTAAGATCTTTTGACATCGGTGTCAAATTTCAATTTTAATACTTCATCTGAGAGTTGTTAGATCAAAAAAGATCAATGGTGTCACATGCTTGCAAATCAGAGTCGTTGATCTTTTTTGATCTGACGACTTTCAGATGAGGTGTCAAAATTAAAATTTGACATCGGTGTCAAAGGATCCTACCTCTACCTATATATATATATATATATATATATATATATATATATATATATATATATATATATATATATATATATTTGGGATAGGATACTTTGACACCGGTGTCAAATTTTGAAATTTAACACCAAATCCCAACCGTTGATTTTCGTCAATCAACGGTTATCATTTATTGGCAATTAATGATTAATTAATAAGTGTAATTACCGATAATTGACAACCGTTGATTGACGGAAATCAACGATTAGGATTGGGTGTCAAATTTCAAAATTTGACACCGGTGTTAAAGGATCCTGCCCCTATATATATATATATATATATATATATATATAATGAAAATAATTATAAAGATAAAATTATATAAATAACTAATTTTTATCATATTTAATATATGATGTATCTTGTATTTGCCACTCCCGTGACACGGTAAATATTTTCATTAAAAAGGAATAACATTTTCCGAGCTACAAAAATATCTATTCTCTTATCTAAAATAAAAAAATAGAATATAGGTGGAAATAACTATAAACATGGAATGATATAAATAGTTACTTTTTACTATATTAAAAGAAATTTATCACCCATGCTATATATATCTCTACTCCCTTATAAAAAAAATAACTATAAATTAAGATGGAATAATATAAATAGTTACTTTTTACTTATGTTGCACCGACATCGACACGGGACACGACACAACACTCCAATACGTTAATTTTAAAAAATGTTAAATTTTGACACGTTAGGATACGTTTTGATATTATATAATATTTTTAATTTATGTAGTGTATATTATATTTAGTATTCAATAATTTAACAAAAAAATAAAGCTAAACTTATAATAAATAAAGCTAAACTTATAATACCCATCAATTTTACAAAGAAACATAAACATCTCAAATGTTTATATTAAACTCAATAAAATTGTAATCGTAATTTAACGAATCTAATAGTTGAAACTCAAAATGCAACACAACGTAACCTTTGAACATTTTTTGAGTCTTTGCAACGAGTATTGGAGTGTCGAAAAGTGTCGGAGTGTCAATGAGTGTCGTGTATAAGACACGACACGTTAAAATTTTTGAAGTGTCGATCATTCATAAGTTTTTACCATATATGATGTAACGAGTGCTTAATACTCCTTTAGCATTGCAAATATTTTTATTAAAAGGAGTGCATTTTCGGTAATAAGAAAGTATTTACTTTCCCATCAAAAATAGGAAAAATTATTCTCATACTACATGAGATAAGATTTTCCTCCTACACATCCTTCAATAACTGTGTTACTATTTTTTTTATTTTTTTTATTTTTTCAGGTAGCGGAGTCCACAAATTTGTCTCTATGATATAAGATAACTTATTTCCTTTAACATGAGATTAATGAAATTCTGAAAATAATTACAATGATATAATAATATAAATAATTACTTTTTATCATATTATATATGATATATTATATTTTTTTTTGATACAATGATATACTATATTTTGGGAACACGGACCAAAGTGTCACTGTTCACCAAGTTTTTTACCCAAATGCCACCCGAGTAGTGTTATTTTCTAATATGCCACGTGGACAAGTTCGCTGGACACTATAGTGAACTCGATTTGCTGACGTGTCACGTTTCTAGTGGACACCAAATTCGCTACCTGGTAGCGAACTTGGTTATAATACATAATTTTATGTATTGCAACCAAGTTCGCTACCCAAGTAGTGAACTTGGTATCCACTAGAAACGTGACACATAAGCAAATCGAGTTCGTTATAGTACCCAACGAACTTATCCACGTGACATATTGAAAAATAATACTGTTCGCGTGACATTTAGATAAAAAATTTGATAAACAATGACATTTTAATCACTGATATCTCTGTTTTGATATATGATGTACTTAGTGTTCCATGCTATGCCGGAAGCACTGTAACTTGTTATGAGATTATCTACTTAGTATATTACTCCTAATTTGAAATTGAATGTAATTTGCAAATTTGAAATTTGTGTGGAAAACATTTTCCACACAAATTTGAAAGCACTCTTTCTCTCTCAAATGATTGATTTGACTCTCTCTCCCTGTGTCTCTCACTTTGTTGATATTTATACACACTCACAGTTAAGTTTTCTTTATCCTCATACTCATACACTCTCTGTCAGAATCTCCTTTCAAAAGGTCCCAAAAAAAAGCATTATATAACTTTAATTGGTGCGGTTTTCACTGGGAATTCCTCTTCAAGCGGGTCTTACTCTTTCTGTGCTTAGTTTCTCTCTCTTTTTTCTTGATTATTGTTAGTTTTTGATAGCCATTTGGCATGGAGGGCATACATGTGTTTGTTAACTCTTCCATTGTACCTGGAGAGGTTGGATTGCTTATGCATTTCAATGATTGTATTGTTAGTTTAGGTCAATTTAATTGGTTTGTTCCAAGCTTGTGAAGGTTTAGGATGAGTGGATTCGTTACTTCTCTCTTGATACAAGTTTTCCCACTTGTTAATCTTTTTGTGTCATAAGAAAATTCCCAATATAAGTATAAATATTGAGAAAAACTACTCTCACTTTGTTAGAAAGTAGCTTTTTTTTCCTACACACTAACATACCTCACTCGTGTAATTTAATTTAATTTTTTTATTTTTTTATAAGTGAGTAGATCTCTTCTACGATTGTGTCTATGGTAAAAGAGAATTATTCTCCTATCATTCTACAATTTGCTCTCAGCCACATAAGAACAAGGATCTTCCATTCTTCCTTATGATGCATTAAGTGTCTTTGGCTTTTTTCCGCGTAGGTTATATATATATATATATATATTAATGTTTTGTTAGTTTTAAAATATTACAGAATCATCAGGGAAACATGGCTCATTTTGGAAAAGATGAGGTGCCAACGCTGTCAGAAATACGGTCCGATGAACTTGTGGATTCTAATCCCCGAAGGCTTGTATCCAGGACACCAAGAGCATCAATTTCTATTCCTATGGTCTCCGTGGAGCCCAATGAGAGAGAAAATAGTCTTGCGGGACCCACTGGTCCACTTCATAGGGTGAGAAAACCCCCCGCTTTACCCAGATGAGTTGTCCACTATATGCTACCCATGGAACTGGAAATCTTTTGCAGCGTAGTATAGTTGTGACAGGAAACACAGCTATATATATTTTTTAAAATAATTTATGGATATTTGATTGAAGTATACTGTACTTATGTGTTTCTTAAGTAGCCTATATTTTTCATATTTATGCATAGCCTTACTTTTATATTGTTTTCAGTGTCAATTAACATAATGAATACACTTTTTTAGTTATTTAGTTTTGGCTTTTGCATTGCTACATCATTCAGTGTCTATACTCATAAGAAAATGTTGTGGATTTAGTGTATTAAGCATCTAAAGCTTGCTTGCTCTGTAAATTTGGTCTCCTAGGATTAGCCACTGTTTTAAAAAATTCAAAATATAAAAAAAAAATTAAGTAATACAATAGTTAATTTACAATCTAGAAAATAATTTTAAGGTTTTGAAACACCCATTTGGTGATGCTTTTCTCCAATGAATATGGGCTCCTAGACAGTTTTCCAGCTCCACATGTCATTTCTTAAAACAATTATGAACTATAGGGACTAAATTGAATTTGTGGTGAAACTACTATGATTACATAAGTTATTTAACCTTTTGTTATAGTATTTATAATCACCAAATAATCCTTATTATTTATTTATTTTTTTGAGATAAACTACAGGTATCTTCAACCAGAGACAATCTTGTTCGGTTCAAGAACATGTTTATGATGGTAATCCTTACTCTCTTGAAGTATATTACAAGAAACCACTTTCTTAGCACGCACAATTTCATAATTACCATACTCTTAAAAAATATTTGTATTCAAGCTGCATCTATTTATACACTGGTCTCTTTAGTTGATATCATTTAGGGGTGAAACTGGGCCAAACTGGCCTACAGGGGCCTACGGCTCGGCCTACATCAGGCCAGATCTGACCTAGTATATTTTGTATAATAGGTCGGGCTTGGGCATTAAAAAAGCCTGTTTAATAAAAAGGCCGTAGGCCCACTTTCAAAAGGCCGGGCCTATAAGCCCACAGACCAGCCTATATTGTACTATTTATTTTAAATAAAATAAAATAGAGTAAGTATGTCTTGAAGAAAAAATAAAAGATATAAATTTAATCAATTGCAATTATTTATAACTTAAATATATTTGATTATATTTTAATAGAAATCTTATTTTATTTCTTATATAGGAGGAACCAACATCTCAACATATTAGATTGTATATATGAATACATTAAAAGATTTTTGGGAGAGTTATACTTACTACAAGCATCATGAATTGTTTGTTGGATTCATGTAGTTATTTTACTTTACATAGTATAGATTTGTTTATTGGATCTGATGAAATATATGTTATTTAGTTTGAGCATTTTGCTTTCGAAAATGACTTAAGTGCATATTGTATGAGTTTTGTTATGATTCATGATTGTGTTTGGATATTGAAATTATGATTTTTGGTGTAGCAACTGAATTTGAGTAATTTGTAAAGTTGATTTAAAGTTAAAAATTAACAGGCTAACGGACCATTTGTTTTTTTATAAACGGGCCAAACCAGGCTAACAGTTAGACTTATACTAAGTTTGAGCCAGGCCAAATTGAAATTTTTTGACGTAGACTTGGACTTTTCGGGACAAAGCTTGGCCCAGCCCAGCCCACTTTCACCCCTAATATCATTGTTGGCTTTAGGTGCAATAGAAGTATTATCGACAATTTCAATCTGTCTCAGTGTTTATATGACTCTTAATTTTTAACACTGTGATAAACTTTACTGTGTATCAGTGTACGTGATCTTCTCCTGACTTCATTTCCTTTAGTGGACATTTATGTGCTATCACTTTAACATAACCAAGGATACTTTTGTTCATGTTTTGAATGTTTACAGCTCCAGAATCCTCATTATGCCTATGACCAAGGTTTTGGGATAAATCTTTTTTCTCTCTGCTCTTCCTATGTGGACCCTCACGCTGAAAGCATACAACAATGGAACAAGTTTTTGGCGATATCTTGCTTGATGGCAATTTTTGTGGATCCATTGTTTTTCTTCTTAATCTATGTGCAGAAGGTATGATTCTTTTCCTTCTTTTTTTTTTTTTTTTAATTGCAACTTTGCAAATTTACTCTACAGTTGTTACGGTCAATTGCTTCACCCCACTCTTGTTGTGCCCATCTTGTTTCAACACTATTATTTTTTATCAAATTACCATTTCTGCTTATTTCTTTTAGCTTCCACAGCCTAGAAATGCTCATAGTAAGGAAAAACGAACCCAAACCTCTAGGTTGATTGACAAATGGGCATTTGAGAACCAAATTTGATCCACTAACTATCAAAAGCCTTACTTTACTACCTTGGGCTTTAGCCCAATAGTACTTCCTGAGGTGGTCAACATATTAAATGGGCCCAAAAGGTGACTTCCAAATAGGAAAGATTAGAGACCCACCGTACAACACCACTGACATCTGCCCTTCTATTCTCCAGAGGATAACACCTTCTTCTTTTTCTTTTTCCTTTTCCGACCCAGATGGATAAACTCCTTCAATTGCTAAAAGATCATCCTCCAGTGTACAAAAAGGAACCTTAGTCATTTCCCATTAGACCCACCCACTTCCTTTTGGGGTTCTTGCGATGCTAACGGAGATATAAAATTTTGAGTTTTTTTTTTCTATTTGTTCAAGCTTTAAGGTTTTGAGTTAAAAGTGAAATTTATCACGGTATAGTATGAGCATAGGAGTGACTAGAACTGAATTCGATTCTCACCCCTTTTATTTTTGAAATTAATAAAAGGGACAGAGTATTTTTACTATCATATAATATTACTATCTTTTATAAACGTCGCCTCAACCTAAAACTTGTGAAATGTGAATATGGTAACAATATATTTTATAAATGTTGCTTGAAGGAAATCAATGGTTAAGATATGGTAGTAACATTAGTAGTAATATTATTTGATAGGAACAATATCCTATCCTTTAAAAAAAACACAAGGTAAACCTAAAAATAAAATGAGCCTTTGCAGTACAAGATAGACTAAAAAATGGGCTTGTTCAATATTCATGTTTCCATCCCTTTAAAATGTGCTTGTTCTATATTCATGTTTCAAGCCTAAAAAGTTTTTGTGTGAGGGTGTGTGTTAGAGATATAAAAGATAGAAAATCATTAATTAAGTCTTACCTAATGCCTTAAGTTTTAGGTTGAGGTGACGTTTATCATGATACTAGAGCTAGAGTGACCACATAGTTCTATCTTCGTCACCACCCACTTTAAGGTGGAATTAAAAATATCATAAGATAAACCAAAAAATGGGTTTGTGCAGCACAAGGTAGACAAAAAATATAGGTTTGTGCCATATCTACGTTTCAAGCCACATGATTTTTGTACGAGGGGTGTGTTAGAGAAATACAAAATATATAAAATAAGTAATATATCTTTACCTAAGGCTTTATGACTTTGGGTTAAAGTGACGCTTTTCAAAATGTCTCAACCATTTTTTTCTATCTCCATTTATGAGTACCCATTTTTTGCTTTGAGGGAGGGTTATATTTACAAACTCTTACAAATTATATTATGTACTCTCGGGAGAACACTATATTCTCCCGGGAGTACACTATGTATTCCCCTTGACCTTGAAACTACAAAAGTTTCGTTGAAATCTTGCTTCTTGATTTCGCATATTGATGTCTCCCTTTTCTCTACCAACCTATCTAGAATCTTTAATATTTTATGCATCTTTTCATTGAATTCTGATATGCTGGCTGAATCGTTGGTCTAGTTCTTGATATGATTTCCATAATTCTTCAGAGCTCCAAGATGTACTTCCATGGTGTTAACCCCCTCAAAGATCCAGCAAATCGGACCAATGTTACAACTCTAGACTTATTTAGAGATAGGAATTGATATTAAAAAAATGAAGAATGCAAGAAAATAATGGAAATGGAAGGAAAAATTTGTTCATTGATAAGAAAATGGAATGTACACTCAAAAGACACTTCTCTTGCCAAGGGGCATTTCCCTTCAACTAGGCACTCTGAGCCTAACTCATATTTTGTCAAAAGCTCCTCCTAAAGGAGGGTTATCTCCCTTATATAGTTCTAAGCTTCTCTCAAAAACCCATAACCATCTAACTACCTGATTAACAAGTCTAACTACCTTTACATGACCTGATTATCTACCTTAGGCAATTATAAATGCCCCTAACTACAAGTCGTAACAACATTGTTCCAATTCATTGTATGCAGGATCATAAATGTATTGTTATCAACTGGACATTGACAAAAATACTTGTTTCACTTAGAAGCATAAATGACTTTATTTATTTCTTGAACATTCTTCTCCAGGTAATTTCTCACTCTCTTGGTAACTACCCTTTTAGAAAGTCCCCCGTCCCCCCCTCTAGTTATGTTTAATTTGTGCTAATCAGACTATTCATCGAATGGTGTCATATTGTTAGCTTTAAAAATATAATCGATCTCTTCCTTCGACAACGAGTTTATATTATTCAATTTTACTAGTTTTGCGAAGGTAAATATGTTGAAAAATGTATTTCCGAAGAATTTTCTAGCTACAGAATAGTAGGGCTTAGGTTTGGTCTTGCGTCATACATAATTGTTCACTGGAGAATAATTAGATCATTGAAGCTCCAAAAGCGTGCTAAAGATTTCCTGTAAAATTTGTACATCTTAGTAAATAAAGAACAGGTTGATACACATCATTGATTATTTTGTTGTCAGTCTTTTGAGTGCCACTTGTCTTGTCTCAGAAGAGTGTTAGGCCATGCCATCAGGTCAATCATACTTATCCCAATGATTTAGCGCTCTTTACAGGGTTGTTTCTTATTTTACTGTCTTCTCTTTATTTATTTTTCAACGAATGCATATAGACAATTTTATAACCATTTCGAGGTTTTTGATTCCTTAACATCCCTATTTGGTATTGAGTTAATACATTTTACCATCGGGAGATGTTTGATACCTTGGGGTTCCAACGGGTTTGAATCCTACCCCCTCCCCAGGCGATACAAGTAGTTTCTTTTTTTTTTCTCAAGAGTTCTGCTAACCCATTCGAAGGAAACTCTTTATTTATTTAATTATTCAACAACTAAAAGCTTAATATTCGAGGACTCAAGTGTAACGGACCCAATTGAGATTACAACATTACCAGAGAAGCGGGCCCGTAAGCAGTCCAATTATCTAAAAGACTATGAGACCAGTTAAAGACTGTAGCAGAATAATTGTCTTTTATTATTCAGTACACATGTAATCAGACTATCAGGTCCAACTAGTTTAGGGCATACATAGTAACACTAGAAAGGAAATACAGTAAGCATGAGTTAATTCTTCTTCTCTCTAATTTCTTTTCTCTCTCTACCTCTATTTCCTCTCGTCTGAACCATCTTCTTGGTAATTCTTGATTTCATTGCTACATTTTGGTGTTCTCGTTGCTCATTCATCCTTCCTTGCAATGGCAAACAACACTCGCATGAGAGATGTCACACAAGTTTAGAGATTCTGTAACATCAAACCCAACGCCTAGATCTGCTGGAGCAGCAATGACGCTCCTCTGAACTGGTACGGGAACAACAATTTCTGGGACTCCAAGAATCTAATGCCCAACTACATGAGTCACAAACGCAAATACAACTAGCAATTTAGCGTTTACTAGATGGGAATGGTCATTCACATTCAGGCATCTTAGGTTCTGGACCAGGGTCTGCTTCCAAATCTACTAATTCTAACACAGATCTGGGTAAACCGCACTCCATTAAGCTACTTTTTCCACGATTTGCTGCTGGTGATCCAACTTCTTGGTTATTTGTTGTGGACAAATATTGTCAATATTATAACATTTGTGAAGAAGACCGTTTCTTAATTGTTTCATTCCATTTAGATGACCCCACAGCTTGTTGGTTTAGGGGTCTTAGTGAAGAGGGTTTGCTACCAACATGGTCTGCGTTTGTCACAGTGGTTCATAGACAATTTGGACCCTCTGGATTTGATGATCCAATTGGGGCATTGGCTAAACTACAGTAGTTGGGATCTGTATTTGATTATCAATCCCATTTTAAGGCTGCTGCCAGTAAGGTTCATGGGTTATCAGCCACAATGAAACGTGGTTTATTCATCTTAGGTCTCAAACCAAGCATTCGCCATTCAGTTCTTACTCAACGTCCTGGTGATTGGCACGAAGCTTTAGCTTTAGCTAAAGTTTTTGAGGATCAACACTGATGAAAAACCTGTGCGCTATTGGTTTACCAAACCAATTCCTGCCATCAACACCGTACCCAATAACCAGATTCTAGCACCCAGCAAACCTCCAAACCCTTTAGGACTCACCAACACTCCTCATAACAAACCAATTCCAGCTATTCCAATTCGTCGCTTATCTCAAGCAAAAATACAGATGAAGCGCGACAAAGGATTTTGTTTCAACTGTGATGAAAAATTCACGTATGGTCACAAATGTAGAGCAAGAGCTTCACTTATGTACTTAGAGGGAGTGGAAGAGGAGGAGCCCCCCCTGATCTCGTCGATCCATTGGTTGAACAAGAAGCTCCTATTGAAGACAACGAGGAAACACCAGAGATAAGCTTCAATGCATTATTTGGTACTTACTCTTCCAAATCATTCCACTTAACTGGCACCATCTTGGGTCAATCCATACAGATTCTTATTGACGAGGAGAGTACTCACAATTTCATCACTCCACGAATAGCCAACCATTTGCATTTAACCCTGCTAGCTATTTCTCCATTTAAGGTACAGGTAGGGAATAACGATTCTCACTTGTGCGGCTCTCTGCCAATCCATTCCCCTAGACATTCAAGGTCACAAATTCAATATGGATTTGTTTGTGTTGGAGTTACAAAATGCCGATACTGTCCTCGGAGTACAATGGTTAGCCACCTTAGGACCAATTTTAACATATTATAACCACATGACAATGGGGTTCATGCATTGCGGTGCAAATGTGATTTTACAGGGTGATCAACGCATTGCAGCTAGCTTGATTACGATATCCCAATTGCACAAATCAATAACGCCAAACTCACTCGAGTCCTCCTTTATGTGCTTAGCATCGAGAATGGTTCCATCACCCTCTTCTTCACCTTCTTCAGAAGGTAACCAGACTGTACCCCTTCCCCCTGATGTCCAAACCTTATTGGATCAGTATACAACTGTATTTGCAGTTCCACACTCCTTACCACCTGACCGGCCCACCAACCACCGTATTCCACTAATTCCTGATACATAGCCCGTGCAAGTCTGACCATATAGGTATCCCCAATTCCAGAAAAATGAAATCGAGAAATTAGTTTCTGAGATGTTGCAGAATGGAGTCATACAACCGAGCCAATCAGCTTTCAGCTTTCCAGTGTTATTAGTAAAGAAAAAAGATGGAACGTGGCTTTTTTGCGTTGATTACCGTGCCTTAAATGCAGTTACAGTGCGGGACAAGTTCTCAATTCCAACAATTGATGAATTGATGGACGAGTTACATGGTGCAACCATTTTTTCCTAATTGGATCTCAGGTCTGGTTATCACCAGATTAAAATGCACCCAACAGATGTTCGCAAAATGGCATTTCATACACATCAGGGCCACTATGAATTTCTGGTTATGTCTTTCGGATTATCAAATGCACCATCGACCTTTCAGGCAACCATGAATCAGGTATTTTTTGAATTCTTACGTCGTTTTGTGGTAATTTTTTGTTGTTGACATTCTGGTGTATAGCTCATGTCTCCAGGAACACCTCAGCCACTTACAATAGGTCCTGATGACGTTTCAAACTCACTGTTTGTTTGCTAAGCTATCCAAATGTTTATTCGCCCAACCATCGATCCAATTCCTAAGCCATACCATTTCTGGTGACGGGGTAAAACCTGATTACAACAAGACACAAGCAATACTGGGCTGGCCCATACCAACATCTGCAACCCATGTTCGAGCCTTCTTAGGCCTTTCAGGCTACTATCGCTGTTTTATACGCCATTATGCATCTATTCCCGCTCCTCTAACATATCTTCTAACCAAAGATGGTTTTGTTTGGTCTCCCACAGCAGAAGATGCATTCTTCAAACACAAAGCATCTCTGACAGCGGCTCTTATTCTGGCATTACCAAATTCCAAAGAACCCATTGAGGTAGAAATTGGCACCTCAGGAATTTGAGTGGGAGCGGTTTTAATGCAAAACAATCATCCCATTGCGTTTTATAGTAGGAAATTGGCACCTACTATACGCACCAAATCCACATACATTCGTGAGATGATCGTGATTACAGCAGTAGTAGCCAAATGGAGACAATACCTATTGGGGGTACCATTCACCATCCGGACAGATCATAAGAGTTTGCACAACCTCATGAATCAGGTTGTCCAGACTCCAGAGCAACAGAACTTCCTTCCAAAGCTGCTAGAGGCTTTGATTACACCATTACATACAAGTCCGGTAAGGCCAACGTAGTGGCCGATGCCTTATCCAGGAATCCAGGAGGGGTTTCTGACACTATGAAACCCCATTTTGCAGCAATTAGTGGTCCTATTAGTGATTACAAATCCCTATTGTCACAAAACTTACAACAAGACATCTCGTTTGCTACCATTTTACAAGATTTAGCTACAGAACCAGCCAAGTGGCCTCAGTGGAAGTGTAAGGAGGGCTTGTTACTGTTTCGCAACCGCATCGTTCTCCCTGCTACCTTTGCCATCATTCCTCACTTGTTACACAATCTCCACACTTCAGTGCAAGGAGGTCATTCAGGCTTTCTAGGTACTTTGCATCGAATTGCCTTTAACTTCACCTGGAAGGGAACGAGAAAAAGATTAAACCGCCAAACCATTCCCCATTTGGTTTATTAACTCCAACTATGCCCCCAGATGAAACATGGACAGATCTGAGTATGGATTTCATTACTCACCTGCCCCCTTGACATGGCTTTACAATGATGTTGGTTATCGTGGGCCGATTTTCAAAAAGGGCTTATTTTGTTCCATTACATTTCCGCTACACAGCTGCCAAGATAGCACAAGTATTTTAGGATTCGGTTGGAAAATTACATGGTCTACCTCGGTCCATCATTTCGGATCGTGATCCTCGGTTTCTAAGTAATTTTCGGACCTCCCTCTTCCACCTGCAAGGAACATCACTTTGTTTCAGCTCAGCATACCATCCTCAGTATATCATCCTTAGTATGATGGCCAAACTGAGAGGATAAATAGGTGCGTAGAACAGTTTCTAAGAGCTTTTACCTTCGATCAACCTTCGGCTTGGTCTCGGTATTTACCGTGGGCAGAATATCACCACAATACGTCCTTCAATAGCGCCACAGGCTTAACC